TGCTCTGGGTTCAGGGAACAAAAAAAAAAACTAATAATTTCTATTCCAACATGATTTATTTAAAAATATGAAGAAATCCATCCAATTGGCCAAATACATGAAGGACTCAATTTGATTTGTGAAACACTAAACTTCCATCTGAGTGACTAAACTCATAAATGCAAACATTAAAACATTTGTTGCAGTTTATGCAGTTTTTTGTGTTAAACTTATTGCACAGGCTGTTATTTATGATAAATTTGAAATATTGTGCAGCCTTATTAGGAAGTAAAAATAAAGTAGTAAACAAAATGAAACAATGTCAAAATAAGATTCTTCAAAAGAAAATTAGGAAGACTTGATATCATCCACAGTCATAATCAAAATCAAAATTTTTCAAGAATCTGGAGAAATTTCTGAGCTCAAAGGATAAGAACAAAAGTCACCACTGGATCCTTGAGCCCTGAGGCAGAACTGCACTGAGACAGCTACAAACACTGGTTAAAGCTCTATCATTTAAAGAACATGACACCGTTTATTTAATCTAACAGTCTTCTCTGGGCCAAAGCTCATTTAAAATAAAATAAGACAAAGTGAAAAAAAACTGTTCTGTGGTCAGAATAATTTAAATTATTAAAGGAAAACCCTACATCCTCCATACTGGGGAGGAGAGGGTCCATCTAGTCCAGTGGTGTCAAACCCAGTCCTGCATGTGTTCCTTGTTTCTCTGCTCCAACACACGTGATTCAGTGATTCCATTACCTCCTCAAATCCTGTAGAGGACTGTTAATCATCCATTCATGTGAGTCAGGTGAGTGTGAGCAGGAAAACAAGAAAACAAGCTGGAGTTTAACACCTTTGATCTAGTCTGTTAGAGCACAGCTCAAAAGCCTGCCTCTCTTATGATATGGGGGTGCATTATTGCCTCTGGCATGTGCAGTTCACACATCTGGAAAGGCATCTTCAATGAAGCATGTACAGGTTTTAGAACAACATTTGTTTCCATTCAAATGACATATTTCTTTAGAGAAAGCCTTGCACGCTTTAGGAGGATGCTGAGCAACATGAAGCACCCAGCCTCCTCAGTTCTACATTTACAGGCTTCTGTTAAAAAGCAGGAAGTTTCACAGCAAACATGGCCAGTCACAACTTTTTAGACATGTGTTGCTGCCGTAAAATTTATTATGACCTTGTTTTTTTTCCTTTTATTAAGCTTAAATATTTGATGTGTTCACTATGTTCTTTTGTGAATAAAATATGGGATTATGAATTTTGCAGGTCACTGCACAGTGTTTCTTTGTTTTTTACATTTTACACAATGTCCTAACATTTTTGGAATTGAGGTTGTAATTTTTCAGGAAGTTAGTTGTGTGTTTTACCATCAGGTAGATTGCTTCAGCAGTGTGAGAAGGTGACACCTCACAGATTACTGACATGAAAACCATTAAAGTGTCTGTGACATGCCTATCCTTCAAATACAAAAAGTCAAAGAAAGCATCTTTACAACTGGTATAGTACACATGATTTTACCCATTTTGTCACATAACTGGCCTATTTCTTTTGAATTTGGCTCAGCCAAAGTGAAACAGGAAGTGACATCAAAGAGGAAATCATTAATAAAATAAACTCGCTGGTCTCTGTTTATTAAAACTAAATTATTTAAACNTATTAATCTAACAGTGACCCAGGTCATCATGGACTACTTTATAAACACAGACACATGACTGTACACAGTGTGGGGGAAATAAGGAGGAAATGAGGAACGRRAARTGGACACGTCATGAAARATTATGASTTTTTTCTCATAATATGACTTTAATCTCGTAATAATAATAATAATAAAAATCTCGTGTGGCCCTAATACTCCGTCGTCCCATGAAAAGGTATAATAAAAGACTTACAAAAATGTGAGGGGTGTACTCATTTTTGTGAGATACTGTAAGTACAATATTTTCATATGAAATGATAATATGAGTCATGTGATAAGTTGGAGCAGGTGCAGGTTTTACCAAACCCATTAGAACAAAAAATACTAATATGTGCTGAAGGTCAATAAATAAAAGCTTGGAGAAGTGTTTAAATTGAGTTTTTGTAATCCAATTATCTGTATTTGCTTAACCTGTTCAAATGTTTTCACATTTAGCCTCATCTAYTATGTCACTGTTGAGTATTTTAGCCCTAAGCTACAAGATTTGTTATTATTTTCAGTACATTTCAACTATTGTCCAAGATAACCACCTAAAAACCCCATTATTAAATCTGAAACTAGAAAAACAGAAATTCAAGAGAAATGTTTTTCTGTTGAAAACTGAGGAAATGAGTGGGTGGCATGTGGGTTACAAACGAAAGTAAAATACAAACAGTATTTCTTTAACGCCTCTGTGAATCTTTTCTTCTTTAMGCTGCTGACGACATTACTCAGGACCAACGAGCTCAAATAGTGACAGTAAAATGAATGCAGCTTCAGATGCAACTGACAAAAACTACCTCTAAAAAAATCCAATTACCCAAGAGTTTCCCTTTTTCAGTCCTGCTTTCTGCTTCTTGATGCAATACATTTTGTAACTAATTATGTTGTGAACAGACAGTGTGTGTAAAAAGGTTGTGGATTATACGCTTGGTTTTGTGGTTTACGATCAAACTGTCCTAACAAGTTGAAAATATTTGAGGTAAAAACACTTTCATTAAGAGTGAGCTCTTACCGGGTAGCCCTCAGTCTTYTTCTGGCACCATTTCAACAGAGCGTTTCTCTTGGAGCCTCCATATTCCCTGGCCAGTGCTGACAGGGGGTCTTTTCTTTCCTCTCTGAGACAGAAACACAAAGGAAACATAAACACAGTAGCGGCACTTCAAAAGATTGACTATATCCAAAAGACAAACAACTTTTATAAAACTACTTTATTTACCACCCCAATACTAAAAAAGTTGTCCCGTTGTGTAAAATGTCAATAAAAGAAACAATGCTTTGCAAATCTCAAACCCATATATTTCATTCACAATGGAACATAGTAAACATATCAAATGTGAAAATATTGGTTCAACTTGTAGAAAAAAAAAGTCATTTTGAATTTAATGGCAGCAAAACGATTACTTCAGACACAGAATCTCTCAGAAGTAGGGCTGCAGGATATCAGGAAAACCTGTGTGATAACAGTGCCTAATATTACAATGATGATATGGATAAAATAAATGAACAAATACATCAGTATGTAGTTTTGATGTCTTTCTGCTCTGGGTTCAGGGAACAAAAAAAAAAACTAATAATTTCTATTC